GGCGATCTCATCCATAATCCCTTTCTCTCTCGTCGTTGTCTGGAATCGGTGATTTTTTAACCTTCGCGATTCTCGTCGTTGCGGTGTGATCGTTATCTTCATCGTTGTTACTCGACATTGAGACTTGTCCGTCGTTTTTCCTGTGTTGGAGATTCAAACAGAGAAGACGACTTTGTTACACGATTTGGGATTGGATTCGTACGATCACTGGTATTGAGTTTTTCGTTTTTTCCCCCTTATGGCTGATGAATACGTCTTTGGGAATCGATTTCGTGAGTGTTTAGGTGTTTCGTATAGAATATTGGAATTTCACTTGTGTGTGTGTGTATGCGATGTTCGTATAGAAGAAGCAAAAGCAAATGTGCTTTTACCGTAGGCGTAGGTATTAGGCGTAGCAGGTGATTTGACGGAAAATGCGGTTCTTAATCGGATTCGGCGGCTCAGGCCACGCAAAATCTGTTGCGTAAATAACCCTAATCCTCGATGGCGGCTGAACACAAACCCTAGTACTCAACGAGGAAGATGATGAGCTGACTTACAGTCTTGAATGGGCTTTTAAATTTGGCCCATTAAGTTGTGTTTTTAATCATTTTCTTGCTAAGGATTTTTAATATTTTTTTTATTAAATCGTGAGTGACTTAGAAGTGGAGGTTTCTGGGTTTTCTTGTTTTAATGGTTTTATATAGTATTTTTGAGACTGATTGTTTGCTGCGAAAGGGAGGAAATTTTGTTGGGATGTTAGCTTTTTCATCTTTTTGCTAATCGTTTGAGTCAATTTATTTCCTCGGTGATTTTGAGGTTCTTTCTATCTTTAATATACAAGTTAATGTTTGCTTTATTGTTTTAGATGGCATCGGGTGAGGGAATTTTGACTGAAGGACAGTGGAAAAAGCTGGAATCAGCAAGTCAGAAAGTTGAAAATTTGTCATCATCACCGAAACCTCATTCCCTGTTGGCTGATTTGAACAAAAAGTCTACCAATGGTGGGAAAGGACCAGTAGCTGTGGTTCCATCTAAGCATGTGCGGCGGGCTAACTCAGGGAAGCATATGCGTGAAAGGAAGGGTAAACAAATTATAACTTCTTTAACCTTTTGTGCTTGATTCTTAGCAAACACAACATCCTCCTTTGTAATCCTGTTATGAGTATGTAAATCGTTTTCCAAATTTTAGTAGTGAGTGAGATGAATATTTCTCAGCTCTTCGAATTCGCTTGAATGAAAGCACTTCTTAGATTTTAGTTTTCAGTTACAGAGTTCAGGTGTGTGGGTTGTGTTATGGTTTACTAATGTGGAAATGATATCTGCAGATGGTGCTGGTGGAAAGGGAACGTGGGGAAGGCTTCTTGATTCAGATGTTGACTGCTGTGTTGATAAAAATGATCCCAACTACGATAGTGGAGAGGTATTTTCCGCTTTTTATTCTGTGTTTGTACTTCTCCTGATTGTTTAGCACCAGCTGATTCTATTCTTTACTAATAGTTTGATTCATGTACTTGCTTTATTAACAGGAAGCATATGATGCACTTGTTGATTTACCTGTATCAGACCCATTGGATGATTACAAAAAGGCTGTGGTTTCCATCATTGAGGAATACTTTAGCACTGGGGATGTGAAAGTGGCTGCATCTGACCTCAAGGAACTAGGTTCTAGTGAATATC